TGTAAATATTCTTTTGAATAAGCCTGTGGGTATGGCTTGAGTCCAACAATTTATTCTGGGTAAAGACGTTGCGCATATGAACCTGGAGACATTTTTCAGAATAAAAATTTGAGTTGGAAAATTCTATGCTTTTATCCAGAATATATGTACTGTAACATATCTGTTACTTCAATCATTGCAAAGGTCATACTTTATACTGTCAGCCTTTCTCTTTACTGTTCCATGGCTCCTTTCCTTAAATCGATACCCAGACAATGCTTTAGAAATAAGTAACTCAAAGAAAACGGTTTCCTCTCGAACAGGAAGTCATTTAAATAATGTGCCATCTTTCAAAATGTCCAAACAGCATGAATAATTCAAGAGAGCAAGAAATTGGACTAGACTCTAGTCACTAGAGTAAGCTACTGTAAAGCTGAATGACCGAATCTGGTTAACTGACAATGATTTTAGTAGTTTTGCGTGAAAATTAAGAAACTAATATGTTACAATAATATCTCCAGTACAAGCTAGTTAGGCTACTGGACATTTTTTCTTGAGAAGGAGTCATATATAAATCAGAGCTAATAAAAGAGAATAGAGATGTATTATGAAATAACATTGCTGCTTTGTTTGTTAACACCATGCCTCACGTCATATTTTCTTGGGTCTTTTGCTGCACATTTCAAAAACAGGATTAACAATTGACCTTGTTCTTGAAAGACCATTTGTTATATAAGAGCGGGAAAAGACCTGGTGTGATTAAATGTTTCAAAACAGTTCCATGCAGCTAATTCTCCTGTCTGGACATCTCGTATTGCTCATTGTAAAACGGGTTTGCCTCTGCTTTAGGCAATCCAAATGCTAAGTCTATCCTAATACTTGGTTGTTCTTTTCTGACTACCAGTTCATATATGTAAATATCAATAAACAGTAAGAAATAAAATAAAAAAAACAACAACACAATGGTACATCAGGAAAGTGACACTGTATTGATGTCACACTTATTTCTTCTTTCACGCCCAATTTTTGCTCTGTTTAACACCGAAGTCAATTTAGAGTGCATATTTAACCTTAAATGTATGTTTTTGGATGGTGGGAGGAGGACAAACCTAACATTGATTCTCAAAATAATCTCCAAGTGAATAAAAACAAACAAACAACAAAAACAACTCAACCATCGACCATTTCCATTAACCATTTTATTGTAACATATTCGATTCCCATTAATGATAAAGCACAGATGGAAGCACAACTCTCAATAGACGATCAGACAAATACATCTAATGCCAAAGACATATGTGAACTGACAACAACCCTGATCAGTCTCTCAGTCAGTTCTGTTATGGTGGACAAAGGGAATCTGTGTGAGCGAAACTTTTCAATGAACCGATTACAGTTATTCAGAAAGAAATGCTTCAGTTCCTTCGTGTTTCCTTTTTTATCTAAAGTGGAATCTTCAAGTAAAAACAATATTCCCACCCATTCCAAAGCGAAATGAAAGGTGAAAATACGTCCCTGATAGAGAAAAACAAGGAAAACCAGAGGTATGTGGTTGGCATTGAGGCCAGAAGCATTCCTGAAAGGCTGAGGAATCTAGACGACAACAAGCCCGGCTGCTGCTGGTAGCCACCAGTTGATGACAACCTGTGCTCAGGATCGTGTCTGGCTATTGTTTAGCCAGTGATTGACTGAGGAAGGTGCGTGTTGTTGCTGGATTCTTTATCTGTGTTTTTTGGACATGGGCAGGCGTGCCGGGCTGATATATTAGCGAGGCTGCCAGTTGAAACTTAGCAGACACAAAACATCACGCGCAGTTCAAATGCTCGAACCTTTGCAGCCGTAATGAGGATGACTCTTTAAGAAAATAAATATATAAAAAGGGGAAAAGCTCATTTAGGGCACCCAAAAGAATGGGATAAGGAAATGTGACTTTATTGCGCAGAATAAAATGAGCATGTTACAGTGTCAGGCTTCACTAGGGAGATTATTAGTGCTTGCTAATAAGGCAGGGCTGGCTTTTATAGCTAGGGCAGGGATATTTAATATCCATCCCTTTCTGGTTTCATTGATTACTTTTATATGCCACCCAGTGCTCATTTTCTGAAGCTGCCAAGGGCTTCAGAATATCCAGTATGCTTTGCAACTTTCCCTTAGAGAGATATCAATTTCATACAGTTCTGACTCTCTTCCACAGTGATCCACTAGGTAAAAGTTTGCTATTGCCAAAGAATTCATATTACCACCTGCATCACCATTCACCCAGGACCCATCACAGGCTCCCTGGGGTGTTGGTATGCTGGGTTATTAACTTGAAAGTCCAGTGTTTAAAAAAAAAAACTTTTATTGGCATTTTCATTTGGCACCCCTAGTAATTGAATAACAGGGGCCCAGAGCGGAGCACAAAAGGGAGAAAGTGAGCATGCGGAGACTGAAAATTCTCATAAGCTGTCAGGAAAGAGGGGGTGACCCACCTCCTTGCTTTCTATTGTTCCAACATAGAATGCTGAAACTGTGTCCACGTTAGACCTGCTTTTTCTCATCAGTCAAATTGACTGAAAGGCCGTCTGAAAAGAGCCGTTTGAGCCAAATCTGCCGTCACCCTCCGCTGAGGTCATGTGCACTAAATTAATTTCTACCAGGAGCATCGAGCTGCACTTGTGTATAATTAGTTTTTCTAGTATTTATTGCATATAAACGTGGTGGTGGGGGGCCATTTGGCTCCCACACAGAAAAAGGGGTCACACTTAGAGGAAAAATAGTATATATGGGATAGAAGTTACCCTTTCAGAAAGACTTTGGACTAGTGTTTGATTAATGACACAAAATATTCACTGTCAGCTTTCATAAATGTACAGGGAGAAGTTTAGATAAATAGCTAACAGCCTGATGTGCAGGATGCCTGGTGCTTTGGTGTTTCATACTTTCATGTTGAAAGAAAAAGTTCCAATCTTAGAATTTAACCTTTTTGTCTTTGCTCGTGTGGTTATTTTTGTGTACATCACCATGTACACAAATGCAAGTCAGTGTAAGTTTTCCAGTTGTAAAGTGTAAACCGAGGTGCTTTAATACCTTTCATTCCTTTTTTTTTATTGAACAGCTAACGGAGGAGAAATGAAAGAATTTGAGTTGGGCTCGGAGCCTGTAAAATGTGAACCAGGGACAATGCGGGTCTCAGGGTGTCATAAAACATTCCTCAAAGTTCACGTTTTGGCGAGTAGACAGAGAGAAAGGATGGACTAATCCAGATCTTGTAGCACTTTTTCTTTCCAAATGTGGGGACCCCCCCCCCCCTCCACACACAGACACACACACGCACACATTCTTTTCGAATGAGTGTGTCCAAACTATTGCCCCATATTACATTTCATTGGAAGGGGAAATCTTTTATGTATGGCATGGGATTGTGCTGATAGCAGAGCTTTCTCTGTAGTCAAAGGAACCGCTTACAACATCCAATACGCCCTGTATCTCTGTCCCCTGGCCGCAGGAGCTCCGGCTGGGTGCTGTTGTTTCCTTTATGTTGGCACGGGCTCCCTGCAAAACAGGAAGAACACACTGCTTCGAGATAGAGGCGGCAGACAGAAAACAAGCCAGTGACGGTCCAGAGACGTCAGGCAGCGGAAGATGATAACATGAGATTTCAGCTGGTGCCCGCGGGGGTTCCAGCACATGGCCTCCACGCACTAAATTTGCCTCCACCGGTCGATGCAGAGCAAAGAGCTCTGCCTCACACCTGCAAGGAGACCCTCAGCGACGAATTTCACCCATTTCGTACCCATAAACTCGGATCAAACACAGCAGATTTGCTCTTAAACAAAAGCAGCCCCACAACAATCGCTCAACCAGGTGCTGATATTTCAGCATGTTCCTTGACTCTGAACCAAAATGGCTGTGAATGTCTAAACCTGGTGTTGTCGCAATCCCTCTGTTCACAAACAGACACTGATCTAAGTCCCAGATAGCCAAATGTTGATTTATTTTGGCACAGAGCGTTCTCTTATTGACAGCGACTGTTTTTTTTTTTTAGCAGCATCGGGATAGAATGGTGGACTGATGCAGGAGTTTTCCCACGCTGCCTTGTTCTCATTAGCACACAGACCATCTTTGATTAGAACCAGTGAAGAACAAGTCGTGCATGATAAAAGATGTAGATATACATCTGCTATGCGTTATCGTCTGCTAAGTCCCCAAAGAAGGGCTATTTTTGCTGCTCTTTTCTTACTTAAAGAAAAAAAAACTTTATACAATTATTCTGGCCTCAATTTGTTTCTAACCCCGACTTTAAAGAGCTACGTCAAAACCTATTACAACTCCTATAAATCCTGAACTTATCAGGCCCACTAAGTATTTACAGTAAGCCTATGACCCTCTGAGCATGAATAGCTAACACTCATATGACTCTACCCGGGACTTTGTTTTTCTTTCTTTCCATCGAAAAAAAAAAAAAAAACCCAAAGCAAGAGCAGATGAAAGGACGCCTTGCTGGCAGAGGTTTGCCATGTTTCCGTTTTGTCGCTTCGCATTAGCCGATGATGGGCTGTCTCCATTCTGGACAGCTCCAGTCACCGAGGCCCCGGGCTGTTGCTTACACATCTGCTGGCACGTCCGTGCCCTCTGGGATGGCTGATGACATGCCAACCGGCGTGACTCGCTCTAATAACAGGCCGAGAGATGTGCCACTCAGCATGAGAGCAGAGACGGGGGGACAGGTACCTTTTAAGCCGAATGGAAAAAAACAAAAAACAGAGGCTTCTGTCAGGGGGGGGGATCCGACGGTTTGTTATTGCCGGCGGTGATGGAACGTGTGTCCGGAACTCTGCGGAGGAACTCCCTTTTCTTATTTCTCGAGAAGACATTTTTGTTTTCCCTCTCCAGTGGGCGGGTTAACCGGAGTGCGGTGACCCTTCTTAGATAATGATGGACACGTCAACATTCATGTGTCCAGTGCAGGTTGAAGGAGTGCTCGAGGTGTGTGAGGGGAGGCATCGTAAATACTTCCATCTTTATTGTCCTGCGTGAACTCTGCTCCCGGCCGTGCCAGGAATGTGCCCCGCGTGCCCACCCATCCATTAACCTGTCCAGAAGGATGCCGTTGTGCGAGGAAAAGAAAACACTTCATTAAAAGTGCTGCGTGTGCGCGCACCAGTGTCAGGGAGAAGACCGACACAGATCATTGTCTCACTTCCCCTTCTCCTCCAGCGCTCAATTCAGCGATTTGAGGGGTGGCTGAGGAAGCACGTACTGCTCATTGTAACATTTCACCCCGTTTCCCATAAAGAGGTAATAGCAATGAATAAGCAGCGTCTCAACAAAAGTCTTGGAAGCGGTTATATTTGTAACAGTGTTGCATCATCTCTTTTGACAACCCTCTGTGTAGGCTTTGGAACTGAGGAGGCCATCTGCTATAGTTTTGAAGGGGATCAGTTTCTCCAGTGTTGCTCAAAATAGGATTTCACCAACTCGAAACCTCAAGGGACAAATATTGTGGAGGGCAGACTACAGCAATCAATCCAATTTCAACTCTTGTATTGCACTTGTAATTTTAATTTTAGCTCCCTCTCTCTTTATCTATGTGTACAAATGCACTTTATTTATATCCTGATAAATAAATATACATTTACCCTGTGACATATTCACAAAAAAATGTGGCAAAACAAACACATTTTACCACCGTGAACTCAAACTGTTTTAGGCCTTTCATGACTTTACAGACAAAGTTTACATGCTGTTTTACTTGAAGTCAGGGTCAGAGGTCAAATGCTTCAAACACAGGAAAACTGCAGAGGGATTTTTCTTTTTTTTTTTGGAGGGTTCTGTTTGCATTCACTTGACCTGAACTTTAAACACACCTGCTCGGAGGAGCTTTTCCAATATTTAACAATCCCGCTTTCAGCGCTTGGAATATCGCACCTTGGTGCCAAAATTCAGAGTTTCTTTCAACAAGATGTTAATTTATCATACAAACCCCTCAGGCAGGGATCCATTAAAAATCTTGAACTGTTGAACACTTCACAGCCAAGGAACAATCAAAAGATTGCTTGTTTTAAAAAAATGACATGTTCCAGACTTCTTTCATGCTGTGCATAGTCTGTGTGCAAATGCCAGAAAAGGCTGAGTTTGATGGCCTGTGAAAATGCCACATTGTTAATCACAATTTCATATGTATGACTTGGAAAATTTGAACTGAGGCAGGAAACGCTGCCCCAAAGTGCTCCTTTCTGGTCAAGCGAAGCCAGAGAAAAGCTGCGTTTACAGAGCAGACATCCACACCTGTAACAAAGTGTTCACGTGATAAGAGTGCGTTGTTGTGCCCTTCATAAACGCTGGCCAATCAGATGAATGAATACTGGGCCATGTCCTTCTTCTTTTCACTGAACCGGGTGCTAAGTTCTCCCACAGCTTTGGCATGCTCGTCATCCGCCTCTTCCTTTAATCTTTGCTGCTCTTTCAGAAACTCTGCCCAGTCATCTTTCAGCTTCTCCAGGTTGGACTGCAGCTGTGTACCCTGGAAAAAGATGGGGTTGTTTAGGCAGATGCACAGTTCTTTGTGCGAGAGGACAGAAATCACATAAGAAACAGAATTAAATTGAATACAAGCATGAAGCCCTCTGAATTGACCACCTGTTCAGAAACTCCCGGGCTTGCATTACCTGTTGTGCCTCTTGCTCCCTCTGCTGGACCCTCTCCGCCATATGATTGGCAGCCTCTACTGTATTTCAGATATGAAACATGCAAAAGAGGATGCGTATCAACCAGTGCTTGCCGGAGTGGCTTACGTTTGATCAAACAGAGAAAATGAAGTCAGATTACGGAACACAAATTATACCCTAGCGTAAATGTCCTCCCAAAAAGGGAGAAACGAGTTGTGGTAAACATGTCCCTGAAGTGGCCGTGCTTTTGGAGAAGTGCTCAGGTAGGACTGTGAGTGGACGACTTACACCGCTTGATGACGTCAGACAACTGTCGGCTCGTGTCCTCTAAATTTGGGGGCTGCATTTGTTCATTTGTCTCCTGGACCATTTTGCTGATGTTCTCCAGCAGTCGGCTCTCCCTGTAGCCTCGTTTTTCCTAACAGAAGCAGAAGAATTCATTTCTGTAAATCTACTTGGCCACAGGTTAAAAGACCTAGACATAAAACATCAAACGAACAAGAGCATTTTATGGCAATGGGGCAGATCCCCTTGGTTAGTATAGTGTTTCTGTGTTGAATATCTGATAAACAGTTATGAGAATTAGATTAATGTAAAAAGACAAATGCTAGTAATCAGGGGTATAGAAGCTACATCAATAACATTATTATTTTTTAAATAAGGTTTAGTTTTAGGAATAATTGTAGTCCTATCCTATCCTGTCCAACAGATAGACCTGATGTGTGTGAGCATAATCAATTGGAATACCGAGGGAGAAGACTATCACAGGAAACTGCAAAAAGCCTCCATTGTGATGCATGTTTTAGCTTTGATGATGGCTGTTCTTTTCATTGGATTAAGGGGTTAAAACCTCAACTATGTGGTTTCCAATCCATGTCTCAGATCCCAATGCTACCTCCACATGTTCTGGTGTAGGTGGGCATGATGGAGGCAACACGTGTAAACTCACTTGAGGGGAACCCACTGAATTTTTGGGGGACTCTTCTCTCGCTGTGATCAACCAGGACTCATAAAGACACGTGAACAGAGACTCCAAACAGGGCTCCCTATGAAATCAAAACCTTTTCTTCAAATGAACTTTAATGAATAAGAGTTTTTATTTTTATTTTTAGGAGACAAATTAGGTTGCTACCAGTTGTTTTTCTCTCACATTGGGCACCTCTTATTTAGTCTAGATTTTTACAACTGATTTTCTTTTATTTAAATTGTCTGACAAAATGTCACACTCATAAAAGATTTCTTTCAAAAGACTATTTTCTACTACCACCCGCTTCAGCTATCTTCCTACCGTTTTGTTTGCTTGATACCAACCAGTACCTTTCCTGGAATAGTAACATTAGTAACATAAATCTTTCTCATAGTGTCAGTTAGGATTGAACAACTTCCTCCCAGATTAAACATGTAAACCATTGCAGTACATTTCCATTAGGAGGATTGCACTTATTTGCTTAGTTAAATCCAGGTTTTGTTTTGCTTAAGGGGAAGTTTCATGGGAGTTTTAAGGAGGACCCTGTAAACAAGTGTGACATAGGGGAAAGCTGTCCAGGAAAATTTGAAAGCCAAAGAGAAAGACAGAAAAAGGGATGTGCAGCTAATTGTTACCTACAGGGACTAAAAAAAATGTTAAAATTCAGAAATTTTGGAGGTTTGAGTCTGCTGGAGCTGTGGCTGGTTATGTTAAAAATGAATGTAAACAGTCCACGGCACACCACAGACCATGATGTTTGCAGTGACGTTTCTGACAGAAATAACTACTTTCAGTCAAGTGAGTGAAGAAAATCTGAACCAAATAACCTCTCCTTCAAGAAAAGCTAGAGACAGGAACGAGGCAATCTAATGGTGTTATTTGGTTGGCCTGACAAAGTCATCATAACTTTTATTCGATGTTGATCAGTTTTTCACTGAGGAGTGAAATAACAGGATATCATACTTTGAGATAACACATCTTTATTTTACTTTAATACATTTGAAATGCAAATGAAGAGATAATATAAAATGTTTATAATAAGCCTTCCAACAAAACCTCTAAATCCATTCAGGCTATATACAGGTCTAGTTGGGGGCCCTTTAAGGGAAGGGAGACATGGTTTAGATCTGAGAGCATCTTACAAACACTACTCACTTAAAAATAAATGAACTTTTGGGCCACTTTCAACATTAAATGTGCTCTTTTGTGGGGCAAAAGGTTAAATTCATTTGGATGTCAAATACCTCAAACTCTCTGATAAAATAGCGGACTTCTGCATTGATGATGGGTCTGTGGTCCAAAAGTCGGGACTGGATGTCCCCCACATCTGCAGGATTAACACAGCGTATAGCAAATACGGTTTAAAGATCAAACAAAGCATGCGTGAATCTCTAACAGTAAATAATATATACTCCCATGTCCCTGTCGGCCGTGAACGCACCCCCACACTTTTCCAAACACAGAATTCACATTTGTCAATATGTTTAAAAGGAAAACAGAGATAAAACATTTTATGCAGCAGGTTTCACTCACCTTTGACAATCTTGTCCATTAGTGTTCGCTCAGCCGAATGTTTGTTAAGTGTTGAACTATTCCGTTTTCTTTCTTTGGAGAAGCCCGTCAGTTTAACAAGCTGTCCTGAAGGTAAGGTATAAACTGGTAAATGCTAATGCTAATCTAACGCAGGGCTAAAAGCAAAAGCAAAGAGGAAGCTACTTAGCAAAGCGAGACTTGCAATAAATAACATAGGCTATTTATTGGTGAAACGTAATACAATAGCTGTGAACTAAAACAAACATCGAGGGGTCTCGACTCAACCCCCAAATACCAGTCATGTGAGTGGAAACCAGCTGACACAATTAGCAAAAGGTTTGCAACTACTTCCGGGTGTGAGACTGTGGCTTAAACCAAATGGTTTTAAGACGGGTGTCATCTTTAATTGAATACATTTCCCCACAGCTTGACCCTACCATCGGTCAACATGTAAAATTTTATTATTTTTAACTGACGTGTTGTTGTCCGTGGTGTGTTTAAATGTACGACTCCAGGCATGTGTAAGTGTTTGTGTGTCTGTGTTGCTCACTGTGTCCAGCAGATGTCAGTCTTGCTCTTTGATGAAACAAAGTTGCAGAAATATAGATTTTGGACTTCCACCATATTACTTGCATAGTGAAAAAAGTACTATGCTAGTAAAATAGGACTGTCTCTCAAGCAAAAATATTCATCCCAAAATGTTTCAAACAAGGTGTCTGTTTTTATATTTATTTTCTCTAAGCTTGCAAAATAGTTTATACAAACTCACCCAGAATTCTTATGCAATACCTTATACAATGCTGAAACATTACATAAAGTTCAAGACACTCAACATACATACAGCTCTATAACTAAAAACTGGCTGGCCAGTGACATTAACATATTTAACATGAGAAAAAATGCTGGAATTTGAACCAAATTCAATTTACAACCATTACATTTTCAGACAGAAAAAAAGGCTGAAAAAAGCTATATTAAGTGCACTCTTTCACAAATGAATCTATTTTGTTCTGAGCATATTGACATAGTGTATGTGATATTATGTCACATGGAAAGATAGTCATTTTAAACATCAGTTAATTCAGTAGTTAGTTTTATCTGAACTTGCTGCACCATGGTTGACGGTTGTTTAACGTGTGTACATTTTACCACGGATGGCACCAACATCTCCAGTTTGGACTTACTAATACAAAGAGACATATTAAAGACTTTAGGTGTGTTATGAATAAAGGGTAAGTCTAGGCTGTTCTGACATGTTATTTTTAAAAGAGGAGGATGTCTTTAAAAGAGTCAAAGAAACTTCATGTAACTTATATTCTTTTATTGCATTACCATGAGCATTTAACATGTTACCCAAGGCCTCTAGATTTCTGAGATCTGGTCTTTGTTATTATTCAGTCATTTATTTATAATTTGTCTTCAGTTTTTGTCAGCATTGCACAGTCTGACAGTGTTATGGGTGTGCAAGAATGTCTACTCTTGGGATGTCTTATAACTATCTGCAATGTTTTCCACTTGTTATTTCTACTCATCCTGCTTTGTGCATTTCGTTAAATAAGTAATGATGTAGTTCAGGGGTCCCCAACCCCCAGGCCCGGGTCAAAATCCTGACCCCGACAGGGTTTTTTCGGGACAGCAAATATTTTTCTAATTTACTACGTGGTTTGATTAATTTTTCTTTTTCGCCAGCCTGCAGCGGTTTGACTTTTGAACAGGCGCGATGGGCAGCTATGCGGGTGGGCTACACCCTGGGGGTCCTTTAAGGAGGGTTGTTGCTAAGTTACAAGCTTGGACGCTAATTTACAGTCAGCTAATGACTGGATGGTTTCACAGTGACACAGTGAGTAAAAGGAGATGACTTTAATAAAAGTAAGCAAAGTGGACTCTGAAAATTGCACATTTAAAGGATGAAACATAAACTTGAATTTTACCTCTGTCGGGTGTGAGATAAAAATTCGTATTAATAATTATTCAATAGCTAAAAAAAGTTTTGAGTCAGTTTTCTCAGCTCTTAACATATTATTAACAAATTTCCCTCACAGCTGACGAACACACATCTGCATACATGTTCGAAATTGGCCTTCCACCTAAGGTTTAAGATGCTAGCTTTTAATGTAAATGCACATGTCAGAGCCTGCACTTTTTAAAATATGTTTTAGTTGCATTGTTTTCTTTATATAAAAAATATGTTCAGCACAGTTTACAGCTCTTTATTTTCCTGAATATAACTAGAGTTTTTAGGTGAAGTGTTTGTGCTTTAATGTTGGTCGGTGTGCAATGCATGATGGTAAGATTATTGTATAATTTCCTTGTTAAATTTGTTCAGTGTTGGTAGTTAAAATGGACTGCAATTTACTGATCAGCAAATTATTTAGTGGACGTGTGACTAAGTGATCAGTTGCTAAAAAACCTGATAATCAAACGCCCCCAGATTGTTTGGATGATAGAGGTAGTGGACCTCTGCTGTTTTAGTTGTTTTTGGGAGGTTTTACTGGCTTAGTTTTAAGGCCTGGTGAGGGACGTGCATAGAAACACAGGTATAGAAATGTGAGTGCTTTGGGAATTTTGGGATTGCTTTTGCTTTTTTGTCCAGAAGATGGCAATAAATCCATGATCACGTAACATTTGACAAAAATGCCTCACTTATCTTGGCTAAGCGAGTGCTTATGCATTTCATAAAATGCAGATGCATTGGCATAAATGTATTAATAAACACATCACTTGTGGCAAGAGTAAATTTATTCAGCCAAAGTGAGAGGAGGCATTGTTAGGGGCAAACGCTTCACATGAGTTGTCAAAAGTTTGTTCCTGAGCCTTTAATTCATTTTAACTGTCATGCTCAGTTAAGAGAAAATCATTAAAGATGCCTTCTAAGTCCCCCCACTGTCCACATTTGTTTACTTAAACACTTATTACATGCACCATTAGTTTTGATTGTGGCCTATTAAAAAGATTAAATGATTGATCAACAGCCGAGGGATAATTGGGTGTCCTTCTCTGCCGCCTCAGGATTGTGTGAAAAGCATGAGAGGATCTCTGACAAGAAAACATGTCAGAACCAGCAAAGGCCTCTCTGACAGTAATGTGCATGCAGTTGTTTTGTTTATTCATGACTCTGTGGGGTGAAATCAAAACCATTAAGATCAACTCTGGCAACAGCAGAGAGGCTATAGTTAAATCCAGCATTGATTATCATATTTATGGCAAAGAGCAAATAAAGTGCCTTTTTCAAAGTGTAAACATATATGAATAGATTTTGATTTAATCAGATATCTCGTTAAAAGCTGTGTTAAAAACTTACAACCTGTTCATCACAGGGATAATAAAATTAAATGAAAAAAATATATATATATTTTTTAAATAAATATACTGTTAATATACATTATATAACATCATGTATTCATAAAAAATGAGCATCTCTAAATTAGGTTTTAAGTATGCAGAGCACTGAAATATTCGTCATAATCTGTTAAATCTGGTTTAAAAAAACAAAAGAAAAAAAGTAACTGTAAACTTATTCAACACTGAGATTTCTGTAGCATTACAGAATTTGGAGGGCTGTGCCAACATCAACATAACGAGGAAATATCTGTCCCTCTGTATCATTATGTGCGGACGCTGTGATGTTGGGCTGCAGTTTGCACGCGGGCGTTCATTGCACGAGAGCAGATCGCGTTTCGGTCTCACAGGTCTATTAAGTGAATTCAGTTTTTTTATTTGACACCCCTGCTCAGTGCACAGAGCCATTCTGGGACGCTCTCCAAAATGATCCAAAAAAAGAGAAAAGAGCTGCTTTTTAAAATTATAGGCTTGTAAAACCTATAATAAATCTCAGCGTGTATTTCAGTAATTTTTTTCATCCAGTAGCTTACCTCATCTCAGCTTTAATTGTAATGTAAATTGTTCTGCAGTTTAAATGACATACTGCGTGTGTAGATTTAATTCAAAATTATTTTATTTCAGGCAAATACGTTTATGAAAACGTTTCCAATGAAAATACATTTTGCACTATTGTAACATTTAACATATTCCTATCAAGGTGTTAGAGACTGTAATAGATCAAATATTCTTATATGAAAGAATAAATATAATACATCCATACAGTATTTCCCGTTATTATCTCTTTAATTCATCCATCAGCTTGAATTCAAACTGACAGTGAGCTGAAGATTTTATATCAATTGATTATAAACTTACAGCCAACAGATGTGTGTATTTTTCCTTAAATCTCCCTCACCTTTTCTATTTCCCTTCCACATGTACAGCCTATATTGGGGAGTTCCCCCCCCCCCCCTGCGAGTACATGCTTGCCAGCATCCAGATGATCTCCTGCAGCCCCTCCACTAACGGTGCTTCAGCCGTGCAGCAGGATGTCTGTGAGTGTGGTTTACCAAACATGCCTACTGGCCCTGCGCGCTCGCCCCAGTGCTGCTCCCGCCTCTGCGTCTCCCTCCTCCCCGGCACTGACCACGCTGCCCCCGAAACGACGGTGCTCGTGTTACCCACCGGGTATAATTATTCTGCATTTAGCTACTCTCCATTCGCTCTCCCTCTCATGTTCGCTCTGTCTCTCTCGCTCTCTGGGCTTTGGCTGGGTCTTGACATTGAGGTCCAGGCGGAGGGCCGGAGGGCCGTTTGCTTTGTGTTCGCAGCACGCTGAGCGCCGCTGACTGCACCGTGGCTCCGAACAGGTGGAGGGCGGTGATGGGAGAGGGGAGAGTGAAGAGAAGGAGGGGGGGGGTGGTACCCAGTGAAGGGGGAGGGGTGGGGGGGGGGGGGAGGGGGGGGGGGGGGGAGGAAGAGGGTTAGATGGAAGGGACCTGCTGCCCAGCAGCCCACCTACCTGTTTTTGCCCCTATCTCTCTCCCCATAACCAGTTTCTCATTTCATTTAATGTCTCTCTTTTTCAGGCCCTGGACATCAAGCTGGTCACTCATCTGGGCACCAACCGCTCCGCCTGCATGAGGCAGGACGCTTCAGAGCTGTCCGCTGTGGGGACGAGGAGCAGGTAGAGTGAAAGTAGAGGTACAGATGAGAGTAAAAACAGAGACCGGGAATAGTTCAGACCCGTTCAGAACTCCTCCCGTGTGCATTTTAGATTGTGACTCACAGTGTCACGCTGTCCCTGGGTCTGATGGGAGGAGCTGTGTCAGGACATGGCTCACAGTCTGAAACCCACCATATGTATTCAACATCCTGTGCTTTTCAAGAGGGGAAATGCTTTTCTGTTTAGCAGTGAGAAAGAACAAAAAAACCCTGTCACTTCATGCAAAGACTGCCCTTTTCTCCTTTCTGCTGTAGATCGGCGCTCGTACGTTCAGACTACATATGCGAGAGCAGTG